TCCCTGGCCACTGCCACTGTGCTCCACTGCAGTGGGCGGCGGCAGGCCAATTAGGGCCTGCCTCCTGCAGGGAGGGACGGAGCACGGGAGGTTGGCCACTGACCCCAAGGAGGGAGCCAGCCCTCAGGCCCCCCTGGGGAAGGGTCTGTGTCCACTGCCACCCACCCTCGGTTCCCTGTCCCAGCCTAGGGGATGGCACCAATGGGGCGATCGAGGCCTGCCAGCTGGGGTGAGGGAAGAGGTTGGCTGTGGGAGCACACTGATAACCAGGGGGCAGCTTCTACACTGAGCGTCTGTCCCCTGGTGGTCAGTGCACCTCATAGTGACTGGTCATTCTGGTTGTTCCAATTGCTTAGGCATTATATATACATATACATAATATATATATATAGCAGCCACAGGAAGGAGGCCCTACTCTTGCACAAATGTTCATGCATCAGGCCATACATATATATATAATATATATACATACACACACACATATAATCAGATACTATAATTTAAAACATAGAAGAATGGAATAATTAACCATGGTGATTAGCATTTTTGAGGACAAACTATGTGCCAGACACTGTACTAAGCTTCTCAACTATTATCAGCTCTATTTTTTAGGTTATTATCAGCTCTATCTTATGGGTAAGAAAATGGAGACATAAGATGTTAAGTAGCTTGCTTGGGGTCACATGGGTAGAAGGTATTAGGGCAGGCATGCATTAACCTAGGCCCTGCAATTCCTTTGCTTAAAATTGGATGCTCAGTATCACCCAACAAATAATACTATGTGTTATTCAGGAACCTGGTTCTAAACATTAGTTAAACTTGATGTTACTGCCAAACTTCTGGATTTTGTGATAATTCTATCTTCCTCAAAAGTGAAAGTTTCTAAGATTACAGCTCCTGGAAACACACTTTTAAACCCCAGGCTTTTGGGCTATGCTGGCCAATATAATAGCATGCATAGCTTTTTCAATTTCAATTAGATTAAGTTAACAAAAACCTCCCAGTTGCACTAGCCACATTTCAAATTCTCAACAGCAGCATGTGGCTGGTGGTTACTCTGTTAGCTGGCATAGCTATGGGACATTTCCACCACAATTGCTGTGCGGCTCCAGGAACAGATAATTGGGGAGCTACAAAATACTAAACAATCTTTGATCCGCTTCCAGAAAAAGAATGACATGTGTTTTAAAGCAAGGACATTTATTGAGCACCTGCTCTTGGCCAGGCACTGTACTAGGTGCTGATGGTACAATGATCAGTTTGATCAATGAGGCAGACATGATTTCTGCCCTTCCTAGAACTCACAGTCTCTGCCAGAGTGACCCTGTAGTGATAAAGGAGGGCTACATTCTAGGAGACATAGAAGACCTAGACAACGCAACATCTGACCCCAGCTTCATGGCAGGGATCAAGGCAGAGCTTTCTGGAGACAGAGGAATCTAAACTGAGGCCTTGATTGTGAGAAGACTCATGAAACAAATATGAGAAGAAAGATGTTCCTGATTGAAGGACCAGCCTGTGTGAAGACTCAGAAGGGGGGAGAACATGCCATGCTTTGAAGGAGTTCAAAGAAGTCAATAAAATTACTTTCTGCATTCTTTTGTTTCTTAGCATCAGAACTTAGGTAATTTTTTCCAATTCATTTATTTATTTATATATTTTTGCATTTTGTCCACACAGAGGAAGGCAGCAGAGAAAGAAAAAGCAGAGGACATTTCAGAAGATGTATGCAGGAGCTAAAAGTAGCTAGTAGCTACCCAGCACCACCCAATGTGCTCCTAGGGATGACAACAACAACATGGCAGTCACTTTAGATAAAGGACATGTGCCCAATACTATGCTGGGTGGTTCATTAGTATTATTTTACTCAATCCTCATCATAAATGTGACTGTTTTCCTATATTTACTTTTAGATAATTAGAAATTAGTAGAGCAACCCATTACATTGAACAACCCAAACTCATGAGCCCTTTATCTATCTTCTGAAATCACAGGTTATGAGGATCCCCAGTTCTTGCTTCTTCTCTGCCCCAGGCTAGTACTACCTAAGATGATCACATAGAGGGATGGTTGAACTGACATGAACACATGGAAGGAAAGTCAAAGAGTGGAGCTAAGAAAACTTGTGCTGCAAAGAAATTAGTTTTCACCAAATTAAAACTAAAGTACAATTCAAGAGAAAAAAGTAAGGGAAATGCCCTATCTCTTTCAGGACCAACCTGTTAACCATTTACCAATATTGACTTACCCCAACAGAAGAACTTTGTTTTTTAGAATTTTCCAGAGAAGTGCTAACTAGGAATACTTTTATCAGACAGATTCAAAACATGTATGACTTACAGTGAGATAGTTCAAGCCAACTTTCTTCCCTCTAAGATCGCCTCAATCTGTTAAAAACTCTTTTGTAACTCAGCTAAGATTTCAGTGCTGCATATCTACAGATAAAACTCTTTGTTCACATCAAGCAGCAATTAAATGTTCAGGGCATGAAATAAGCAGCAAGTTTGGCTTCAGAGCCATCTTGCAATTTGTAAGTGATCCAAGATAGACTATATGCCTTTAAATCTAGATGACTGCATATGTATTCAGGAGAAAGCTAGCTGCCATTTTGCACAAGTCATCAAAAGATGGAAAAAGACAAATTTCTGTAGCTTGTCTGATAAATGTATATTAATATATGTCCACTGAGAAGGTAAACTGCCCTTAACTTTTCCTTTTGGGTTTACAATTCAGTTTTACTAGAGAAAACATTCAAACTGACAACTGAAACTGGCATTATTCTTCAGTAACTCATTGCAAAGGACTGGGGTAGCCATTTGGACAGAGTTGTCTGTTTAGCAAGGGCTGCCACCTTGTTTGTTTTTTTGTTTTGTTTTGTTTTGTTTTGGCTTTTCAAAGAAATTCCTCTCCTATTCCACACTGGGACTGTTTATCATTGTTCCACCCTGATTCCTGAACAGGTACAC